GGGCCCTGGAGCCCGACAAGCCTTTTTGGCGCTTTCTGAAGCGGGACGTGCGGACGCCGTTCGTCGTGGAGCTGGAGGTGCTGGACGGCCACGAGCCCGAGGCCGGGCGGCTCCTGGGCCGGGCGGTGCACGAGCGCCACTTCCTGCGGCCCGGGGTGCGGCGGGAGCCGGTGCGCGCGGGCCGGGTGCGCGCCTCGCCCTTCCTGCCGCCGGGTGAGCCCCGCTGCCCAGAGCCTGGCCGAGTCCCTGCGACCCCCGCCGGCCCCTTGCCTGGCCAGGAACCTCGTGATTGTGGAACTTCCCAAAGCTCGTGCCCGCGATCCAGAGTCTGTCATGGATTCTGAGTGGAAGTTTTTCCTCTTTAAGTCAGTACCCCGGGGGTACTGACACTCCCTTCTCTGATTGCTAACGAGTGCATGCAACTTAAACATTCAATTTACTGAGAGCCACTATGTGCCAGCCACGTGGCTGTTGTAAATGCCGATATAGGCAATGACTTTTACCGGTGTGCAAGAATGATTTTTACCTCCTTTCACATCAAACTTACAAAGAAGCTAAAACCCAAGAAGCAGTGCTCCATAGTCATTAACACACAAGGGCTGGCAGATTGGCTCAGTTGGTTGAGTGTGGACTTGATAACGACAAGGTCCAAGTTTTGATCCCTGTATCGGTCAGCCTCCAAAAAACCCCAATACATAGGGCTGGCCCTTTGTTCAATCGGGAGAGTGCGGTGCTGATAACACCAAGGCCACAAGTTCGGATCCCACATAGCGATGGCCGGTTTGCTCACTGGCTGAGCGTGGTGCTGACAACACCAAGCCAAGGATTAAGATCCCCTTACCGGTCATCTTTAAAACACACACACACACACACACTCCCTAAGAAAACCAAAGCACACACAAAATTCCCTAACAGTCCCCTCCACCCTTTCATAATCATTCTGTCAGTGGCTCTCAATCTGTGGTGATTTTGCCCCTTCCCTGAGGTACATTTATTTGGCAATGCCTGGCGACATTTTTGGTTGGTACAGCTGAAGGGGGAGGTGTCTCCACCATATCACCCTGAACATGTCTGATCTCATCTCCTCTGAAGGGGAAGGTGCCAGTAGCATCTAGCAGATAGAGGCGAGAGATGCTGCTAAACACCTCACGATGCACAGGACAGCTCCCACAACAAAGAAGTACCTTGCTCAAAATGCTCATAGTGCTGAGGTTGAGAAACCCTAGTCTAAGTAAAAACAGGTGCTTGCTAGGTAAAAGTGGCATGTAAACAAGACCCCTGGCCCACACCTTCCAACCAAATTTCTGACTTAAACCCCTACTATATAAAAATGCTGGAGTTGCCACAGCAGACAGAATCCCTAAACTGAATTCTGTGATTAGCCTCCAAAACAAGAGACCCTGCCTTATTTTTGTAGCTCTTCAGCAATTACGAACCTTCACTAGTGCCTGCCCACTACACTGTGAATTCGTGGGGCTAGAATTGAGTCTTACACATTTTCTATATCTCTATATTCCTGGAGGCATTCACATGGATATAGTAGGAGCTCAATAAATGATACTGACTGATTTCATTAAAAAAACAAAAATAAAATACCCAGTCACGTTGATCTTTTTTCTGTTTTTTGGTGTCAGGATGGTAACAGGGATCAAACCCTGGACCTTGGTGTTATAACATGTTCTAAATAACTAATCTAACCATCTAGCCCTCAAGTCAATCTTGTTTTAACTATTTCAGTGTCTACACTTATAATTTATTGTTTTCTCAAAGGCATTTATAGATAATGTGGAAGGGTTACATCAATTAATGAATATGTGTTAAGTCAAGGACTGCTAAATACTGGGATGCAGTAGCTAACAAGGTGAGAAATGGGCCTGACTGTACTTACAGTATAATAGAAGATACAGGCAATTACCTCTGCAGCTATAATACATTGTGGCAGGGGCTATGATAGGTTCCTTGTGCTGGT